GGTAGAGGCCCTCCTGGAGTGCTGTGGTCTCCGCGGAAGGCAGTGAGGCCGGTGCTGCCGGGCCCGCCCGGGCCGTGAGGGGAAGGGAGGGCAGCGAGGAGCGCCGGGCGGGGCGGACGCTGCTTTAAAGTCCAGGATTTTCTTCAAAGTTTTTGTTTGTAAAGCGGAGAGCGTTCCCAGCGACCCCTGCAAAGCAGCCGCTCGGTCCCTGCGGGTGCGGAGGCGATGCCGTTTCTCCCCTGGGGCAGCCTCGTGGTTTCATTGCATGGCAACACCTGGGATTCTGGCAGAGCTGCAAAAGCCCGGATTAGTGGAGGAACTCGGGCGTCTGCTCTTGAGTTTTGCTGTTCGTAGTGTTGCTGATGTCTGGATCAATCATCAGATGTTTATATTAACAATTAGTGCAGTAAAAGTCATTATAAATACTGTTGTGCATTTGCTACTCATAGGTACTAACTGAAAATGAATAAAGGCAAACAAATCGATGAAGATGATGATGACAGTGAGCAGTTCGAAGATTTTATGGAGAACTTTAACCAACTTGAATTGCTGGAGACACATAGGCATTTGATTCCTGTGGGAACTCAGAGTTGTTGGTCAGGACAATCTGATGATGATGATGATGAACAAGAAAGAAGTGAGGAATGGTATGAAATGCAGGAAAAGAAAATGGAAAAAAATCCAGAGAAATTGCTACTCTGGGCAGCTGAAAACAATCGGGTAAGGCATTTACTCTGTTCACATGGATCATTGATAAGAATGCTATTTTGAGCAGATACTGACAGTTTCATCCATAAACAAAATTTTCCCTATACATCCCTTTATTTCTCTGAACTATTTTGATCCAGTTTTGCAAGCCATTGTATCTAAAATGTCTCCCTGTGTAGCCAATGCACACTAAAGTATTTCTCAATCTGCTTTCAGTACAAAAGCATTGGTTGTAGTTCAGAGTTAAAGTAACAGCACTCTTTGTAAACTTCTGTAAACTGAAAGCATGCCAGGCTCTTTCTTCATGGCAAATAAGCTTTTTAACCAAGATGGAGAGGGTGTAGCTGAAATGCTATTTTCTCAAAATCTCTATATGCTGAGAATGGGTGGCTTTCCCTATCTCTCTGGGGGAGGGGGAGGCTGCAGGGAAGCTTTTTATTCTTGGCAGTGAGGGAGAGATGACCATGATTCCTGTTATTACATCCTCCTATACATATATTTTCATTAGTTGCCTTTCTTACACACACATGCTCCACCTACAGTCCTGTGGAGGTACTTGCATGTTCACAGGGAGAAGCTCTAAGGCAAAGGTAATCCTAAGGCACTTGCAACTAAATGCTTAAAGCAAAGTGTGGGGAACTAGGGCTGTGTATTTTTGTTAATGTTTTATTTCTTAAAAAAAAGCCACAAACAAAACAAAACAACACTCCCAAGCCAAAACTTCAACAACAAAGTTAAAATATCACATTAAAAAAACCCCACGCCAGTAACAAAGTAGCTGGTTTTATTTTAAAATTTCTTGTTGTGCTTTAGCCTTTCTGAGACTGATAAATTGTTTTCTCATAAAACTTTGGAACGGTAAACCCCATACATCTTGTTTGCAGTTTTGTTTTAAATTACCTGTTTTCCTTAAATAGTTGAGTACAGTGAAGAGGCTCCTCTCCGAAAAGCTGGCTCCAGTTAATGCTCGTGATGAAGATCAGTACACCCCTCTCCATCGAGCTGCCTACAGTGGGCACTTGGACGTTGCACACGAATTGGTCGCCCAAGGGGCAGATGTTCACGCGCAGACAGTGGATGGCTGGACACCTCTGCACAGCGCCTGCAAGTGGAACAACACAAAAGTGGCCGCGTTCTTGCTTCAGCAGGGTGCAGACATCAATGCGCAGACAAATGGGTTGCTGACACCGCTGCATATTGCTGCTGGAAACAAAAACAGTAGAGAAACCCTTGAACTCTTGCTGATGAATCGCTATGTGAAACCAGACCTGAAAAACAACTTGGATGAGACAGCTCTTGACATTGCGAGGAGGACTGACATATATCACTACCTTTTTGAAATAGTAGAAGACTGCATAAATGCTGTGTCCCCTTAGAAGTCGTGGTTAAGCTTGTGAATGTGAGGTTTGCTGCCTCTTGTTTGTGTTCTGCATGCTCATCGGTGGTGGTCTGTCCCTGTGCAACAAGGTTTTCATTTACGATACTTTAGTATTCTCCTCCAGCAAAATGTTGCTTGTTGCAGCTCAGCGCAGCAGTCCTGCTCCTACTTTGAAGCATTACTGCCGTTACTCAAAGTGTTCAGAAAGCTTCAGTAATTTTGGTGAGTCTCTGTTTAAGTAGTGCAAATTCGGAGGGGCTTTTTTAATTAGCTTGTACTGTCAAAGCAGGTGGGGAAAACTGGAATATTTACTTGAAGTGAAAGAGTTCTGGCTTGGTTATGTGGAGTTTTATTACAGCTCACTTGAAATTAATTTTTTTTTTTTTTAGAAATTTAAACTCTCTTTTAAAACTGCATGAACACTCAGAATGAATGTAACTTATTGGGGTGATACACAAAATGTTTAGTGAAAGTGGTGTAAAGCTTACTGTAAATAAAATATTTAACCCTAAGTATTTTGTCATATTTTTCATTGAAAGTTCAATCATCAATGCAATCACCTGTGCATAAATCAAAAGCCTTATTCATTGGATGGTAAAGTAGTTTCAGTTTATATTTTCCTGGTACTTTTCAAGGAAATTCCTTTCTATGAAGATCCTGTTTACTTTTCCCTTGCAAATTAAGTTGAGTAAACTTCTAATGTCATGGATACAGCATTAGTTCAAACAGAGGAACCTCAGCTGTGTGAGGGTAAACAGCCAATTTACTGTAGTGTCAAATTTAGTTAAAGCTAACTTAGTGCACACAACAGTGTTTCTCTTCTACTTTTGAACCCCCCAAAAGAATCCCTCATTCCAGCTCAAGTATTAAGACATCTGAATAGTTTAGAAGCTTTGCAAGTACTTTTCCTCAAAACTCCTTAATTTCCAGATCCTTCATTTATTTTCTTAAAGAATCTTCTGACAGCTTTGGCTGCTGTCATTTAACCAAACTGAAGGTGGCAGGGGTGGGTTGGTTTGTTTCTTAAGATTTTGAGGCCTTTAGCATGTGTGGCTTCTCTCTCCACAGCCATGTCAGCTTGTATCTCACTGATCTGCAGTGAAGACTTGAGACTCTTCACCTGATGTGCTCCCAGCAGGTCTTGGCACTATTTGGTTTAACTTAGCAGAAAAATGTTAATTAATGCTTTACATTTTCACAAGAGACGTCATAATTTGTTGCATCTCTTTGTCAGTTCAGCCTTACTGTTAGCAAGTGAAAGATTGTATGATTTTTTTTAGACTTTATCCGAGAGTTTAATTTATGTGTGTTACTGTTCACATCAGCTGTATCAGTCAGCATGTCTCAATCTTTCAACTTCTCTTGGAGAATCAAAATCTCTGGATTATTTAGATGTCTGTGAGAGGTCCAGTAGTGTGCACCTCCCACTTTATTTTTTTTTAATTTTACCCACCTTAGTTCAAGTGTAAGTTTCAGACAAAAATCACTACTAAATGCAAGTATTTAATGACTGAGGGTTTTTAAGTACCAGAGCACCAGTATGGTGCTCTGACCAAACATCTGAGGAGGGCATCTCCATCACCTGCCTTTCTAGAAGCCCTGTTCAGCATTTCTGTCAGAAAACAGAGAGCTGCCTCTGAACTATGAATGATACAAAATGATTTGTAATGCTTATTATTTTGAAAGTTTGGTTTCAAGACATCTGTGGAAGATGAATACACCTTGAAATGTATCAAGGGAAAAATAAAGAAAGGGATTACATCATGCATTTGTGTAACTAGACTTGGTTTGTATCTTATCAATTCTTATTTACCTCATGCAAGTCTTGACTTCAGGGAAAGTAACACGGACAAACTTCCCAGTCGTACATCACCCACCCAGTTAAACAGGACTCTTCTGCCATTAGTTTCATCTGTCCACCATTGCCTCGGGTGAGGATGATGAGGCATCCTTTGCCCAGGCAGGCCAGCGGCAACACCCCACAGGGGTACACACTGTGCATGCCGGCTGCTGAGCACGATGGTGCTGACTGACACAAATGAGGAGCTGTGGATACCTGGAGTAGAACCATTAATGGTACCTAGGGCTGTCACCCGCCCTGCGCCCCGGGATGGCAAATGGCCACACCCTGCCTCCGAGGTGCCCCCGTCGTTAACCCTGGCCTGCGGCAGGTCTAAAATACCCCAAGTGTGACTGGAAATGGCGGATCCGCTCTGCGCCCCTCGGCACAAGGCGGCGGGAGGGGGTCCCTCAGGAACTCGCTCCTCCAAGGCGCAGCCCAAACATGGCGGAAGGTGGGCAGCTCGGTGCCGCCCTGCTCTGCCCCACGGCCCGCCGGGGTGCCGGTTCTCAGCGCT